GTCGGCCCACCCCCTTCACCTAAAACGTACAAAAATTTTTTTTCAAGGTGAGGAATTATTGCACACGAAATTACAAAAATATTCAATGAAAGAATGCATTTTCAAAGGATCGAACGCGGAATCTTATAAAAGTAGTTTCGACTGACAATAACATGGGCAGCGGACAATGGCAGATATTTAGAGGCTTGAAAGACGCTGATGAGCAGATTTACCTGGGAAATATTGATGTGGATGATGCTAGTAAGAGACCTTGTACTGATCATTAATTTTTGTGCAAATAACTTGTTATGTCGGTATTTATGTAGTACAGTAAAAGAATTTGTTGTTCAGTTGTGTTCGCTAAAAACATAATAAACATATAGAGTCCAGAACAATGATAAAAATAGTATAAATGATGTCAGGAGAGATTTCCAGGGCAGTACAGTTGAAGTCACAATGTTGGCCATATTCAAGGAAAGTCAGTTTTCGAGTTAGTATAGCTTGAGTAAGTTGCAGAATGTCATCCTGCGAGAGTATAGTCGATAGTAAGGAACCTTTCCTCTATCACATACAAAAAGGAGATCTTAAAAAGAATTCCTCATAGAGTTATGAAGTCGCAATTAGAGCAGAAGCCACGTCTCCAAAGATCGTTTTTTCGCAAATAACTTGTGTGTGTGAACGAGTTTGAGTGGGAAGGGTATAGGTTGATTCTACTTATCAAGAGCTCTCGATTGACTTATAGCATGTGGGGGTCCTATGTTTTTTGAGCCTGCGAGGGTGGGTGAGCAGCCTCACTTCAGGGTGCTCACCCCCCGCCACCTTAAAGGCAGCGTCTCGGCAGATTTTGCATTTCCATCTTTTTGCATGTCTTGGGCCTTCTCGACCCGTATATCCCGAATCTGAGCTTTAAAAGGGGTGAAAAGGCCTTTTTCGGGGCGTTTTTTTCAATTTCCAAAAGGCAGCTCGGACGAGAATTTCAAAGGAAAGTCGGGAGGCTCTGGCACGAAGACCCTGCTGCCTGTAATTTTGGCTTTGTATAGCATGCACAATGCGGGGAAGCGGTTGGGGGGGGGGTACCGCGCCAGTTAGCGGAGAATACTCGTCCGAACAAGGTGTTAGGGGAGCGAAAGGAGGAAGGGGAGCGGCGCTTGGGCCGCCCCCTGGCTTGCAGAGTTCACATTTTCGGCGCGGAGTTGCTGTTTTGGTTCACTTGGAGGGCCTCCTATCCATCTGTGTCAAAATCTGAGGTAGGTCAATCTGCCGAGCCGCTGCCTTTAATGCACTGGAGGGGCGCCGGGGGGTGAGCACGCATCACTGAGGCCGCTCACCCACCCTTCCCGCAATCCGGAAGCATCAAACCCTCACATTTTATATATCATTCGAAAGCTCTTGAGGGGACGAATCCACCTATGCTTGTCACGTTTTGATTTATTTACTTATACAAAAGTTATACTGAAAAAATCGATTTCTGATGTTTTTTTTGCAGCTTCATATCTCGGCAACGGGGGCATTTAGTGCTTCATTTTTTTGCATCAGAGGGAGGTTTACTGAGTCTTACCTATACCCTCGCAGAGAGGTCGGACGTACTGAAGGAGAGTTACAGCAAGGAATAAAATGCGCTTGAAAAACACAAGTAAATCTTGAATTTAAGTTAGTCGGTCTTGTGGAATCTCTTTGCGAGGGTATAGGTAATACTAAATGGACCTTCCTCTTAGAGATGCAAAAAAATTAAACTGTGAAATGCCCCCACCGTGGAGATATGGGGCTCTGATGTGGAGGGCGGGAGGGGTACCGTTGGACCTCTGGAAACTACCTCACCTGGCAAAAATATTGAACCTCACAAATTATATATCGTTGTATAGCTTCTAAAGCCCAGAGTCCGAATCTAGTTCAGAATTGGCTTTAGCCCACTCATACGAGAGTTATACTGGAGAGCGAGCTACTGCAAGACTGAAGTTATACTAAACGAAAGCTGACATTGCTTAAAATTCAAGTTTCAACTTTACTACCCTAGGAAATTTCTCCAACATCAATTATACTATTCTTATCACTGTGCTACACTGTATATGTTTATTGTGCTTCAAGCGGACACAGTGGACACAAATGACCAACAAATTTTTTTTTATTGTATTTTACTCCATAGATAAAGACTTACGGATTTACTTGCAACAATAATTCCATAATCATCACGGAGTCTCTTATTAACATTATCCACATCTGTAAGTTCCAAGTAAAACTTCATTCAGCACCTTCCAAGCCTCTGAGTATCTGCCAGTTTCCACTGCTCATGTGATTGTCGGTCGAAATCATATTTCAACATTACACGTTCAGCCCACCTAAACATGCATTTTTTACCGAAAAATGGTGTATAAAAATAAAACATTATTTATATAAATCGAAAACAAAGTACTTGTAAACATTTTACTAATTGTATTCCATACAAATCCAATTCAGAAAATTTGACTATTTAGATTGGATAATTCTATGATTTTCGCCATTTTTTATACCCTCCCCTCCGGTCGACGCGACAATTTTTTCACTACCCCTCCCCCCCCCCCAGGTCCTAGACATCCTTCACTTCTGAGGGTCAAAATCAGCCGAGCCACCCTTCACCTTGGAGGGTCCCGGCTCACCCCATGGCACCTACTCAGATAATCACCGGGGGCAGGCGGCCATGCGAATTATGGGCGGAAGGGCACCGGAAAAATAGTTTGCTGATTTTCCGCTTGCAGAAATTTGAAAGAATTTGAGCGAATTTGGAACGAATGCTTGGAGAACAATCGCGGTTTCCTTACAGATTAGCTGCGGCGCAGTGGCCGCATTCTCGCGGACTTTCCGCGAGAATGTGCAAAATTTTCGGGGGCCGCACGGTGCTTTGTGGAGGACCGCGCAGCCCCCAGGTACTCTCCGCTGAGAGAAAGTACCTCAAACTTGAGTAATTAAACCGTCGATGACACCTCTGCCATGTAGAGTCTCACCTTTCTCGGCGTACGCCCGAAACTGCTTGAAAACCGTCCGAGCGCCAGCTGAAAATTTGACCAGGCTCGCTGAAAGAGATTATTTGACGAGCGCCTGCAGAAAATTCTGTGTTGCTGCCCGCTGGCAGAACATTAGACAGTAAAGAAAGTACCGCTCGCTGAAGGTTTGGCCACGCCTCAAAATTCTGCTGCCCGCTTGCAGAAAAGCGCGAGTTTGCGGACCGCCTGCCCCGGCGATTATCTGGGTATGATCTATAGAGGAGAAGAGATTACAGTGGTAGGTGAAGGTAGCAGAGTTACATCAAAATATTAGCTTTGGCGGTGGACACTAGGCAAAAGACCCAGAGGTAGACCCAAGATGATGGATGAACAAAATCAAGGCTGACCTGCGAGAACTTGGAATAGATGAAGGCCTTGCCTCAGACAGGAAAGCATGGAGAAATCTGACAAGGAAAGAAGACCCTGCATAAGCGGGACAATTGCGAGGAAAAAGCTCTTCGAAAATCCAACAAAGAGTCATTTTTACATAAGTGTTTCCTATAATTGTCCTATTTGAATCAGTGTTCCAAGCCGATTGTAACGGTACACACCTCACCTCAAAAGGCTACGGTCACTCAGTATCCTTCCTTTGCTAGCGACACTGTCACTAAATGCCGGGGGCACGATGTCGCATGATCAATGCTGTTTGATGCACCCCATACGTCGCCTCATTTTTTCGATGGCTAGAATGAGCAGAATGCCAAGTGAGCATTTGCAAAGCTTTCTGCTAAGCGGATCGCCGCTCCATCAAAAATGCTCCGGCCCCACTGGATAGAACGTAAAATCTGATTGCCAGCGCCTAGCCTTGGATACAAACCCGCAGTTGGCGGAAACGTTGGCTTTGAAAGCGTCACAGGCTTGTCATATTCCATAGTGAACGCGCAAACTCATCAGAAGTGAAGACTACTGTCGGACGAAGGCGCAAAACTAGGGTGGGGGGGGGGTTTATTAGCCGCAGAGCGCAAGAGGCGCAGGGTTTACAGTCGAATCATTTCATATGATCATGTGTGCCACTGCACACGCTGTTCACCTTTGACATCTCCATCCTGGAACCGATTGTTATCGCTTACATCACTTTGCGAAGATTGGTACGTAAAAAGGGGAAAAACATGAAGGAAACATCGAAAACACTCAGCAGAAGAGCTGCCTATTCCTAGAATCCAGGAAGAGGACACCAAAGGTGGAGGCTGTGTGCAATGACACACATGATCACCTAGAATGATTCGACTGGGATAGAGGAACGAACGCTTCAATTAGGCATCGCCTCCGCGGGCTGCTGGTCCTTTCGTCCTACTGTTGTGCATCGCGTTGGGAACAGTGGCCCGCGGAAGCGGTACCTAATTGAGGTGTTCGTTCCTCCATCCATTCGACTGTAATGATGAAAATATGCGCGCGCCACGTTCGGGCCCGCTCGTCTAATATCGTGCGCCTTCGTTCGGCAGTAGCCTTTATTTCTGAATACTTTTGAAGTCATTTTCTTTCAAAACATACTCTGCAATGTTGAAAACAACGCTGTTGACGGAAATTTTTTTCTGAACGAACGTGATCTCTATGGTCAGTCATAATCACTCGCGCATGCCGATGTTCAAGGCAGTTATTGGTTTTTACACTCGGTTATTGGTTTTTACATGGCTTGTGCGTTTGGCTTATTGTCGTCAAACGACCGGAAATCGGTTTAATTGCCAAGAAGGAAAGCGTTTAACGGAATTTCCTAGAGCTTGGTCTCTGACAACACATCCAATATTTGGACAGAGAAAAAACCTTGATTGAGCGCTTCAATTTCAAGTTTAAAAAATGAGCTCTTTTCAAGGTTTGTGAAATTATGAATGAAAAATTCGTTTAGGCCAAATTTTACAGAAGTTGATAGTGCTTTTTTTCGTTCTTTGTTGCGTATATTTTCTAACTTTTTTTCAAAATGTCCCGGAAATTTTAATTCGCGGATTTTCTGATCATGCACCGCCGCACTTTCAATTTTTCGCCGTTGCCAACGTTAATGGTCATTTCAGAACTATGAAGCGACGAAAGAGACGAAATGATCTCAAGTCTCCACTGCGTTTCTTGGTGCCGAATCATTTCCGAATGTTGCTAGACTCGATAGAGACGCAGATTGATGAATTCAGCGATGAAGAAGAAGATATGTCATTTCCTATTCTGGAAAGTCTTGTAGGACTTCTAGGAGGGAAGACTGTTTTGGACGCTGTGCGTTGGCAGCAGTGTGGGCTTATTCGTAAACTTGAGGCTGATTCAAGAGCGAAAGCCAAGAAGAAGAAGTTCGGCAACAAATTCTCAATCGGGGTACTTATCTTTGGTTTTGAAGTGCTGCCTGTAATCTTACGAGGGAGGGAGGCTTAGTGACCGTGGTTTTTCGGAATGTGTCATCAAAATGCTCGCTCTGAAACTCTGATCTTACTCTGTTCGCTGTATGCGGAACGACTTTCTCAAACGGAGTAGGCTCGACGAGATGAAGGCAATGATAGCCGCACCAATGGGGAACAAACGGCCATCCTCTGTGTAATAATCCAACACATTAATCATTAGACCATTCACTGACTTTAATGGCGTCCGGGCGAAAACTCAGTCCTTTGTTTTTTCGCTTACTTGAACTTACCCGTCACACTGAAACCGAAATCCATCCTAGTAAGCTCGAAAACGGCATTTTTTTTCAAAGTCCATGACTTGGTTTGGACGAGTAAAACATTCTTGCCGAAGCTAGGTCTCAGTGTCGCTGCACGAACCTATGATTTCAGGCGTGGAGGCATATGGGTACATATCAGGAATAACGATAGCTGACAATAGTGGCTTTTTGAGTGTCCTCCGGGTGTCAATAAACGGTGCACAGGTACAGTCGAGTAGATTTTCCGCTCAATTTAGTGTGCTTGCACTGCAAGTGGAATGCGGTAAAATTTGGGCGTAAAGAAATAGCTAAAGACTGCTGCATGACGAAGGCGCAAAAGCAGCATTAGTTGAGCGGGCGCGAACGCTGCGCGTGCGTGTCTTCACCATTGTAAATCCTGCGCCTCATGCGCTCTGCGGCTAATGAAACCGCGTTCGCACCCAAAGATATTGCGCCTTCTCAGACAGTGGGAGCGAACGAGCCGCGGCCCTTTTCCGGCTGGAATTTCGCAGCGTCCGCGGCCCGGCCGGAGATGGGCCGCGGCTCGGCCGGAAAACAGCCTCGGCTCGTCCGCTTTTGGGCCGCGGCTCAGCCGGAGCTGGTTGTCCGTCCGTCTAGTTCATTCAGCTCGGATACAGTAGAACCGTTTTTTTTTAATCTATTGGCACTTAGAATTACACAGTAAAAGAACAAAAACTGAGGCCACCCCATATAGCGGCTTCGGATACCAAGTCCGACTTCAACGTTGGACAACACAGGGTGCTATCCAAGGATGTACAACATATTGATCTTGTTTCCGCCTTGGAGACTGGAAGGACGTCGAAGGCTATGGACACTGAGGGCAGCCTAATCATGCGTCGTACATCACGCAAGTATTCTTTATGGTGATTCTGGGAGCGGCCGAGCCGCGGACCTTATCTGACATGGGCCGCGGCTCGGCCGGAGTTTCATTATAAAGATTTTGGTCCGCGGCTCAGCCGGTGCAATGCTCCACTCCCATCATTAAGGCCGCGGCTGAGCCGGTAAGCCATAATCAGTCCGCGGCTCGGCCGGTGCGATGATAGTGACATGAACTAAGGTCCGCGGCTCGGCCGCACTCCGGCCACGCCCACAAATTAAGGCCGCGGACGGGCCGGAAAGGCGTTTTGAGGCCGCGGCTCGGCCGGTCCCAGTGTCTGAGTTCGTCATGCAGCAGCCTATACGCCTGTGACGCCGGCCATTTGCGCGCGCAAAATGTTGGCATTACTGGCATGGCTACTTGTTCACGCGCAAATTTTACCGCATTTCACCTTCAATGCGAGCACACTATATTAAGCGGAAAATCTACTCGATAGCACCGCCTTAGCAGCGGACGAGCTCACGCAGGTCCTACATTTTCGAGCAGTAAATGCCCAAAGCTTTATTCTTCTCAAGATATGCTTTATGTTGAGGCTTCTGCTTTTTCTAAAGATGGAAATAATCAGAAATCGCATCGCCATAAACACGCGATAGAAATGTCTTGGGCTCAATTTAGCATGTGAAATATGTAAGCTTCTTTGATTGTTGTAGGAAACGAACTTCAACGAAAAGAACTGAAGTTTAAATCATTTTTCTCATTTTCATGAATGAGTGAGGGCGGGCTGGTCTGGACGACGGTAAGGACACGGCGCTGAAACGGCTGGATTCGCCATGGAGCGCGGATTGTGAGAGCGGATTTCCTCACCTGACTTCAGCTTGGACAAAAAAGATTCGGACCAAACCATGCTCACAGTACTTTGGGCGGGAAGGGTGTGTTAGCCTACTTGTTGTTATCGCTCAATAACTATTTTGATTTTTGAGTCTGAGCCACGGGTGGAGTTGGTCAGATGAATAAGTATGTATGCTGAACAAGAAAACATACTGGGGTAGGGAATCTAACATACGGGAGTGGGACATGGACAGGGGAATTTTGTTTAATGATGGAATATTGACTTTACTATAGCGTATCGAAGGAAAGGGTGGAGTCAAGTATGCCGGCCAGAGATGCAAAGAATTCTACATTTTCTGGGAAGGGATAAACTCAATGAAAAACTCTACTTGGTCTTCAGATCAAAAGTAACGAAGAAATTGAGTCCAACAAAAAAGACTCGACCCAAGTTGAAAGCTGTAGTGGAAGTTACTGTGATCAGACTCACGCATCGTTTGTGCCCGAAGGGGGTTCCCAGTACCATCAACGTGGCTGCCTTTCGATGGTTTCAACGTATAAGTCGAATAAGCGCCTTCAGTTTGCTGTAGTTAACGTGTCAAAACGATCGAAAGGCAGCCACGTTGACGGTACAGTCGGTTTCATCCCGGATTAGGCGAGACATTCTACGTGGAGCAGCGCATGCGCATCGCTGGAGGCTTCGCGAGCGCCTAGCGCTGGCATTTTGCCAAGCAAAGACCAAGGAGATTGAAGAGACGCAGACATGGATTCTCAGCACGATAGGATATACTGTAGCTGCGAGACGGTGCGAGCTGCTGCGAAACGGACTCCCGCCAATCCATTTTCCGCCTAAAGCGGGCCGAAACTTACTGCACCTACGAGAACCTCTATGATGCACAAACCATACAGTGAACAAGCCAGCGTACTTGAAAGCAACATTGGATTACATGACAGCATGTGCAAGAACAAGAGTGCCATTAGGAGAACTAATTTCAGTCTACCTTCTCTTATCTTGCAAGCTTATTTTGATCCAGTATCCAGGGAGTACTCTCTTGCTAATCATAACGACCACATCTCATGCGCCACTTCCGTATAATCGCTCTTTTGTTCTGCTTCTTCACTTTCGCCTAGTTGTTGCAAGCTATGGAAGAGATGTTGATTATGTGTTATACGTTCCAAATATCAATACCTATATTTGGTTCACCTTTCTGCAACAACTAATTCCCGTTTCTGTAGTCAGTATATGCATCTAGCCTCAGTTGGGAGGACCTTCACTGCGGAAATTATCGCAAAATAAGTATCGTTTATTCGTTGACCGTAACGACTGCTGACCGCGCGGCGACCGCTGCGCGTGCATGATGTTTTCGTAGAAAAGATGAATAGAAAGAAAACAGAGGATTCTTCTCATCTTTATAATGTAGAAAAGAAACAAAGAATTCTTCTCATCTTAAGCCACGGTCCAACTTGTCACTTTTTCGCAAGTTTAGAAGGCACGCGTCGCAGTCGCCACGCGGTCGGCAGTTCGTACGGTCAACGAATGAACGATACTTATATGTGTGCTTAACCGGAGCGGATCCTTGTAAGTAAACATGCGAAAAAGAACCACTTGAGTCAAAAGAAACCCTTTGAATCATCTTTCGTCAAACGCTAAAAAGTAAAGTTCCATGCCAATTACGCGCTCCGCTCGACAGCCGCGCTCCACGGCGAATCCAGCCGTTTCAGCGCCGTGTGGCTACCGGTCGTCGCTGGTCTGCACGCGCGAGCAGCTGGCAGCTAGCGGCTGGCAGAGCTATCGTTATTCTTGACCGCCACCCGAGGCATATCTACCACTTTGCCACTGTAGAGGACAATCGCAGGCTGGCCCCAATCTTATAAAAGCGTAAGTTCTCTGACTTTGTGAGCGCATTTCTCGCTTCTATTCTAACGTTATTGCTTCACATTTGTGGTAGCGTGGCCGAGGACTGCACTTCATATGGCTCTGCAATCCTAGGACATCCCACTTTACTAGGACGCCGCTGCTTTCAAAGCAGTGCCAGGGCAAGAAGTTGATTCTAAGCATTTGCGTTTACGTGGACTTACTCGCTATGCTGATTCCGAAACTCACACCAGAGTGCGCGAAAACAACGGAAAAGGGCTCTAAGGCCCTGGGCATACTTCACGCGATTTCAGTCGCACGCGATTTGGCTATACTCCAATTGTTCAAAAATCATCGTAAGGGGTTTCTGAATGTACTGAAGATAGGGCGTTTCATCAACCTACGGAAGTTGTACATGCTGTGCGATTGGGGTTTGCCGGTATGTAAATTGAAGAGATCGCGTAAGATATGCCCACGGCCTAACGCAGCAGGGAAATCATTTAATGGGCGGAGCCCTCCAATCTGTAAACTCATTCTCCCGGTCTTAGGAGCGATCTTTTCGGTTCCGGTTTCAAGTCACGCGGTCGCATTTGGCAGATGGCGATGAAATGGCGGCTAGCGAAAGCGAGCAGATCGCTCCTCAAGCGGAGGAAGTGACTTCACGGAGTAAAAGGCCCCGACCTTCTGATGATTCCCCTGCAGCGTTTAGGGAACGACTATAGATTGCCGGCAACGGTTTCGAGGTTGTCAGGGTTGCCGAAGTTGTCGGCGTTGCTGAGGTTGCCGAGGTTGCCGGTCGTGCCTCGACGTTTCGCGCGCTTTCTAAGCTGTCTCTGACCCCGGCAACGCTGACAATCGGCAATCCGACAACCTCGACAACCTCGACACCCATAGTCGGCAACCTATGACCGTTCCCTTGGAGCCCTTTTTCGTCGTTTTCGCGCTTTCCAATGTGTATTTTCGGACTCAGCATAGCGAATAGACCCCCAGTTATAGGGCATTCGAAAAGTCGTGACGATGGCGCAACCGCGCGCGACACGCACGCAATCCCGGCGACCGCATTTTATTCGTTTTCATCTCTACTCAAATGGTTTTTCTGCTTACATATGATAGTATTTGAATGGAAGTGACAGCTGAGAGTTGAGGTGATGCCTTTTTGTATGAGTAGACTAAAGTCAAATATGTCACGATTTTATGAACGACCTATAGGGCCGGGCATACTTTACGCGATTTCAGTCGCGACGCGATTTGGCAGTTTGCCAGGGTTCTTTAGATCCAACACTAGCAAACTGCACATACATAGTTTGTATGAATTACGTGAGTTGATTGCCCCATCTTCCTGAATTGAAATGTGCTTATAATGACTTATAAACAGTTGGAACGCTGCCACATCGCGTCGCAACTGAAATCGCATGAAGTATGCGCGGCCCTTACGAATTCTTCTCCAGACACTGCCTTCAACTCGTATCGACATTACTCGTACTTTTGTGCAAACACGTCATTACGACAAAAACGCCTCTGTTAACACTTTTCAATAAATCTTCGCAGAGAAAGAACACAGTCGCGAATCAGCTCAAGGCGAACTTAGGACTCAAATCACATATCAAAAGCGACGGTCACCAAGAATGCTTCCCCGTTAGAACTTTCATCCAACGACTGCATCGACTGCTTCAGTTGCATCGGTTCACTGTTGTTAAGGTTTTCAGTTCAGTATGGGTATGGTCAGTAACGAACAGTGGGGTGGGGGGGGGGGGGGAGGCACCCGGGCTGGCTCTGAAGTTACTTATATGAGTTTAAAAAATTAGCTATCCACACTTGTTGATAATCAAAATAATTTGCCTAAAATTTTTCCTCTTTCTCTTGAATTTCTAGGTTGTGCCGCAAAAGTTTTTTCGAAGTACCCCAAAAAGTTTCGCGGGTGTGTGGTTAATGCCACACACCCTCATTTGAAAAAACTTCTTGTCCTCCCCCCATCGCCCCTTCCTCCGAGCGGGAACCCTGTGACCGCCACTGGTATTTGTGTAGGTAACGGTATCTGGCAGCATTACAGCCTTCACTCGCAATGACATTTTGTCGTGGACCATCCGACTCCTCCTGTGTCGACCAAACGAAGATTAGCCGCACAAACCTCTATTCAAACTCTCCTTTTTTCCAGGTATGTGATTTCACAGTGCTTTTCCACATTAGTTGAATATGTTGAACTTACAGATTTCGCTAAAGCTCTGTCATCAATAATTTTTGCATTGTTTGGCAGTGACACGGGCAAGCTGCGTATTAATTTCAAGAGAAAATGAAAAGAGGGTCTAGTGGCCTTGTGGATTTTGGGTGAAGCCTAGAAGTATTCACTGAGATATGCATCAGCGTCATGCTATGATGAAATCGCTTCAGACACTTCACCACCAGAACTTGTTAAAGCAAGGACAGCATTTATCCAACGCGATATTGCACAGGGAAGAATTTTAGTGCCCTCGAAAATGCTTAGTTTACAGCCAACAGGCAATGGATATGACATCGAATTCTGCATGTGCGCATGGGGATCTGTTAAGTGGTTCCGAAAACAATGTAGCTTCTTTCACGCTTTTGGGATCGCAGAATATATTACATACTTCGAATGCACAGGAACTATTCTTCAATGTCCAGTCGATATCATAATCGTATCAGCCTGCGAAAAGCCTCTATAGTCTCTTATTGTCAGCGAAATTTCCGAATCTGATGCGACTCGCAGTGTTGGTGCGGGCGGAGACTTGACAACCTATCTCTCGCTACCTATTGTGTTGACAAAGAATGAATAACGAGCACTGGCGTTCAGCAAGGAGATGTATATCATTAAGGTCCCTTCGGGACGCTGATAACATATCTGCTCTCCAAATCTGCGGGACGGTTTCTTGAAAGAAGTTGTGGACTCCTTGATCTCCAGGTTCAGCCCTGTCTACAATTGAAAGAATACGAGTAATGATGCATCATTGGTAGAAACGCTGATAGGGCAGGCGGAAAGCATTTGGCTTTCAGCCATAAAGTACCGGGTTCAAATCACGTTGATAATAGCCAGCCATTGCTTTTGTTTGTGCAAAACTTCTTTTTTTTTTTTTTCAAAAACATCCAAATGACTAATATTAGCAGTTTTTCATTATGACTGACAATGAGTTTCGAAACACATTCGTACTGCAGTAGTGATGCTTGATTACTCCTATGTGCCTGTAGAAAGGAAAAAGCCTATCCAGGAGTCCAAAACTTCTTTCTCAGAATCGTTTCGCAGAATTGGAAAACGGTTGCTGAACGCCAGTGTGACTCACAAGGGAACGATCCCAACTTAAGGTGGCGAATTGGAATGAACCGCATACCATTAGATGCGTCTTGATGAGTTGATTTCAAATCTGCCTTCCACATCTGCGACACCGTTATCTGCAAAAAGTTATGAGCGGTTGAAAACGTGAAGTTATCGGGGTTTCGATGCATAATATGCTTTAAAATCCAACTTGGAAGTGCACGACTAGTATGATATTGAGTGTACTGATTCCAGGGAATGCTCAGATTTTAAAGAAACGCAGATAAGTGTTTTTAAACAACTAATTTTCGAGTTATGGCGCTGTACATTTGCCAAATTTGGAGTTTTCATTGCTCATAGCTTTTACCAAAGAACTTTAGTTGCTTTTTAGCTGTTCAAAAACACTTATCTGCGTTTCTTTAGAATCTGAGCATTCCCTGGAATCAGTACACACAATATCATGCTAGTCGTGCACTTCCAGGTTGGATTTTAAAGGCAGCGTCCAGGCAAGTCTGGACACATGGGGATCTTACGCGGATAATAATTTTGGGGCCCTAATTAAGCCACTGCCCAACCGGCAGCTCAGGTAGTGCTCTAACGGCTGGGATATTCCCCTCGAAACTGGACCCCGCGATCGTATTTCGCATGGATTCATGGCGCAAAGCGTGGGTCCTGGCGCGAGACTGCCATGAATCCATGCGAATACGATCGCGGGGTCCAGTTTCGAGGGGAATTTCTCAGCCGTTAGAGCACTACCTGCGCTGCCGCTTGGGCACTGCCTTAGTTAGGGCCCCAAAAGTACTTTCCACGTAAAACCTCCATAGGTCCATATCTGCCTGGACGCTGCCTTTAAAGCAAATTATGCATTGAAATCCCGACAACTTCACATCTTCAACCGCTCATAACTTCTTGCAGATAAAGGTGTCGCAGAAAGACAAATGGAAGACAAATTTGGAATCAGCTCGTCAAGACGCATCTAATGGTATGCGGTTCATTCCAATTCGCCAGCTTAAGTTGGGATCGTTCCCTTGTCGCAATGCTCTATCTCTATGTGACAATACCTCACATCGTAGCTAGAAGAGCGATAGGACTGAATGTATTCTAGGTACTACCTATGCGTGCTTCCAACAACCCACGTCATCTCCTGTCGCAAGTCAACTACTGCTTCTGCAAGTACTACGAGGTACGTACATCGCTTTTGATATAGAGAGGGTTAGCGTGATATCACGAACAGGATCAGAGCCGCGCAGCACACAAAAACTTGAAAACCATTAATTTAAGGAAGTGGACAATGGATATCCTCACAAGAAATTTCTTTTTTTACATAACCGGAGTAGACAGTAAGTCAGTTCACGCGAGGGCACCAGCAATCTTCTTCAGGGTCATTTTCGGAGTTAACATCCCAAGCTTGTCGGATAAGTACAGATGAAGTATCGAAGTGATCAAAAGTCGAACCACAAGCCGAAACTTGGGGCTTGTCGAAACTTTCTATATTCTTAAAACTCATTCGCTTTTTCGAAAACATGCTCAGCAGTGTTGGGTTAGATACTTTATCACTTCTAACGAAAAAAAAATGAATTGCGAAGACGCTGTTGGTCGCTGTGGATCAAGGGAGTCAAACAAAAAGCTGTTACGCCGGCTTATACGAGTACATACGCTCCTGTTGAATATACAAATAGTAAACAACTAGGAATACTTAGGCTTCATATATACCTGATGATCGAGGTATAGCGGGTATGGCAAATTGCTACTGTCTCCGCTGCTACAGGCTGCTCGTACCTGTTGGCATATATACATTTTGGGTGCAAGGACACAGTTGAATTCCCCTCCCAGCTTATCTAAATCAGTAGAAAAATGAATAAATCTTATAGCTGAAATGAATGGGAGATATCGTACTGTTCTCACAAAAAAAATAGAAAATGTTTTTTTGTAAGCAAACTACGTGCTGAATCTACTGTAGATATCACACGATAATTGAACTAGCCATTGACGGTTCATGAAGCCGAGCTGGCAACATGACATTCTTCTCGTTGGATAAAAAATTGCCGCTAGCTGTTAATCTTACTCTGTATTCTATTTTTGACTCCAGAAGCTATGCACTTGCCCTCGTTCGGATTGCTTTATTCACCCATGCATTGCCTTTTCAGTAATCCCGCAATTTGTCGTAGTGTTCAATATTGCAACATGCTCTAGAAATCCTTTGAAAACACAGAATATGGTGAAAAGGTGCCAAATCAGCTGATAGCAGCAAAATCAGCGGATAACAGCATGGAGCAGCCGAAAGCTAACGGTTGAGTTCATATCGCGTAGCGGCAAGGAGCAGCAACGAGCAGCAGCGAGGAGCAGCGAGGAGCGAAGAGCAGCGCAACATCGCTAGCTGTATCACGTTTTCTGCAATAACTGGATGCAACACATCGCTTGGCTGCAATCGATATGCACAAAAACGCTGCGGCTAGCAGCGACACATCGTCAGCTACAGTCACCCATCGTCAAGTATGTATGAAACCTTAGAGGTGGATAGGGGCGTGAAGTCGAGGTCTCTGGAGCTACAGGACATGAAGCCCTCTTTTGAGCTGCTCTTCCCCTCCAGCGGGGATTTATGCATGGGGCCCTTGGACTTCGTCCGTTTCAAGCTTTTTGAGACCATATCCCTTCAAGAGAACATCGTTGTAATAGAGCCTTTATAAAAGTTGAGGCGGATTTGCGGTCTGCGCCCACCTACTCACACAAGCGTAAAACTCTCAAGCAAAAGAGATCACTTGAGTGATCGGTTTAGTCCTGATAGTATTTGAAAGCCATCATATGTATGCAAATAAATGATTGAAGTAGAGACGGAAGTGAAGAAAATAGGGTTGCCGAAACTGCGTACGTGTCGCATGCGACCGCCACCATCGTCACAATTTTATGAATGTCTTCTATACATTATTATGAACGTGGGGCTTGACCATACATAAGCTACTTACCTACCTTACCTTAGCACCTTGTCGTTTGGAAGTGATATGTAACCAAATGTTGTAGATCTCTAGCTTCATCCTCGTATGCAAAGCTCCATACCATAAAATTATGTCTGTGGGCTATGTAACAATTCCTAATCAAATTGCGGAACAACCCTCCAAAAGATGTAATGAAAATCTGAGGTTTTTGAACTTTTGCGTACATTGTGGTAGCAGTGCTGATAATACATACAAAGAATCAATTAGTCGCTTGCAGAAGCAGGTTAGAAAGCGGAAGAATAGAATCACCTGTGCACATGCTCTTGCAGTATGGATGTCGCGATGTTTTGGTTCTTATGCAGTGATAACAATGAAGAAAAGAACCATTCATTTGATTGGACAGCAGTTTGTTTGCAGGTCTCAGGAGTTTTATTGATTACTGTGAACCATAGCTCTGTGTGTTGGACTGCCTCTCATTGAATCTCTTTTATTTGTTTTGCCGTAGTGTAATTTTTGGGATCATAAAAATTAGTCTTGTCAATGTTGTCGCTTATAATGTTAAAGAGGTTCCTGAATTTGAACTAAGCTTTCACCGGTTGCCCATAAAGTTTGATGAGCGCATTGATCGCTTGTTGCCAGAAGCACAGACGATCGCCAAGGTTTGGCAAGATCGGAGGACTCAGAGCCAGGGTCAAGCAAGGGGTGTGGCACACGATCGCTGGTTACGACCCCCCCCCCTGATTGCTGTCTTAATAAGACCCCCCCCCCCTGGACTATACCCTTAAGATAGCATTACTTGGAGGCCCTGTCAAACATAATGGGCAACATATCCATAATGAGCATGTCAATTAACCCCTGTAGACAAAGTTTGAGCGAATTCTGAAGATTCAAGATACTAGGCTACCTAAGTGAAATGGTCAAATTCCAACATGGTTAACTTTGTTTCAAAGGTGAATTAGCTATCCGTTTTCGCACTCAAGACAAAGCACTACTCCTTCTTTGTCCACCTCAGGAATCCCGCTTCAGAAGACCTCCAAACTGTGGAATTAGAAGCCAACCAAAATCTCGTTTTTCCCATTTTTCGCTTTTGATCGCTGTGCTTTCACCAAATATTACTCAAAGCTAAGAAGACGAATCAATCTCAAAACATCCCTATGGAATCTACGAGGTTTAGGCTATTGATTCATATAAATATTGTCCGCTAAAAATGTTTTTTTGATATAGTTAATGGCCTGCGGCACCCCCCCCCCCCTCAAAACCTGCGGCTGCCGCACATTGGTCATTTTAGGCGGTGGGATTAACTTTTGGTACTTCCCTATGGCACGTAAAGGTCTACAAAAGGTACTAAATCAAGACGTTAATGATGTTTGACAGCTGTAGTAACTTTCTAGAAATCCAAAGAATTTCTTTGATTATTTGAAAGTTAAATTATTAACGTGTATCTTCTTTTATTTTTGAAAATACTTATATTGGGTGAACCAGAAGGCGGGAGGGGGGGGGGATGGGCAGAGCGAAAAAGAGAGGCATTACTACTTGGGTGCCTCGAAGTCATAGGTATGTATGCGAAGCGCAAACTTTCGTAGCTTTTTCGTATTCAGAAATCTCCACTTGATCAACCTTTTGCAAGATGCAGTTCTCTTTACTCTTGAATTGTTTGGATTTGTTTCAACGACACTCGGTTAATGAAGAATAATCCTTTATCCAACAAAAAATTAGCAGTCATCTTCTTGCGTTTATACTGTACATTGCGGTCTATTTGTATGAATCAATAGATTGTAAGAAAGAATAGGAGAATGTTTCGACATTAGTGACGAAGGGTCTGAACTCTGTGAGCCCGCGGTCATCAAAATCCTCCTGCTTCATAGGGATGTACAAGATGTAGAGCCCTTCAAAGTGAGGATGCGATAGTTGATCCACCATTCGTGTGGATGTGCTCGTAGAACGGTTGAAAAATAGCACTAAAGGACTTCGTGATTGGAGGAGGCGGGCTTTCACGACGGGATCTTTTGTGTTGGACGTCTGCAAGGTGGTAAGGACAGTCATTAAACGTTGAGAAGCTGATTTTTTGCTGAAACTTACTGTCTGGCAGCATCCCAATGTCCATACATCGCTTTAATCGACAGCTTCGGCAAATTTTGCGGTAACCCGTTGCTGAAACAACCAATAACTTTTTGGTTCTCAAACACGTGCGGCTCAAACATAAATTGTTTGACTTATGTCTACCACTGCTTAATCACGAAATTGGGCAACTGAGAACAGCAGGACAATCGTTTGAATTACTTGAGGTATTGATAAAATATCATTCGTACATTCACTTCTGATTATGCTGTCTGCTTTGTCAAAGGGCAGGGTCGTTCAAGATGGACACGAATGTGATATTACTCACTATTCCGTGAAAGGAGACAAGGGCACCGTCCACCCAAATCTCAACTTTCATACTTTTGTCGTTCCTTGGCCTTCTCATGATCCTGATTCCGAATATCAAGTCAAGAATCCGCAAAAACCCGGACAATCCCCATTTCACAGAACCTTGAGGACGAGTTCTTCGGTACGATGACTGGTTGAGTGCGCACGGGTGGGCGCGACGAACGTCACGCCCGCTCAAAGAGGAGGAGCCAACGTTGCACCGTCATCCGAAGCGATTTTCGAAACAATTTTCTCGCTTCGGAAGCTACTTTTGACAGCGCGAGTTGGGAAAATATACACTTGGTGGCGTTACTGTTAGACATTGAGATCTCATCGACCTCAATTTGGGTGGCGGTGCCTACAACAAAGACTCTCGAATCCGTTCGCGAATGCTAGAGGCTGTGCGTAATAATCAGGAGTTTGCGCATCGCTCTCGTAATAAAGCAGGCTGCTATATGGTGAGGACATGCTCATTCAATTATGTGCCTTACAAATCAAGGTGAACAAAGATTTTGCCCAGACGCGCATTACCCAGGGAATGGCATGAGGGTGGCAAATGGAAACTCAAGAAACGGTTTGCCTTTGCCTTTTTCGAATTTTCGATGTTTCACTTCATTACGCCAGCCACGTGAGATGTTCACCTGGAGCGCGCTTTCCTCATTGATGACACCGTCCTCGTTGCTGTTTTAGATTACGGTAGCGAGAAGAGTATGAGTTTTGAAACCGAAATGTTACGGTATGTAGAACAGATTTATGAAATGAGATTATGTAAACTGAAAGTTGCCACCTCAGGATGGCGTTAGATTGGCATATGCTACCTTAAGAAAAGAGAAGTGTAACGAGGCACTGGTATTATCAAATGGAAAGAAATTTGGATAATTGAGGATGATGCGCGAGCAAAATCGCGTTTCGTTTTTGCACGTGTAGCAACTTGCTCAAGTTGCTGATGGGGTCACATGGCCATGTAATAACGATATCGCCTTTGCTTTTCCCCAAAACGATTTCTTGGCATTTGTCCCCCCCCCCCCCCCCCGTCCCCGTGGCGGACCGTGCGATTCTCCGCTAACGCTATGGCTCAACATTTCCTTACAAGACGTTACGTTAGATCTATAACAGACACTTTCAAATTATACAGAAACAAAAAAAAACCGTCAAGGCTATTATAAGGCTTTAACGGTAAAATTCACCATCTCGGCTGGGATTGTTACATCGCTGGCTCCTTTTGCATACATATTTCTTGCCATCACTGATTGTGCGACGGAAGAATGCTGCACAAGCAGCGCATGTGCGGGCTCCAAAATGTAGACCATTGGCGTGAGTGGAGTGACAAACCTGAATTCAGATGAAAATGCAGTTACGGACGTACTTTAGGAGGTAGGGGCGAGACAGAGAGGAGTGTGACGTTAGTCACCCTATAGAAATAACTCATCCTAAAAACAATGTTTTTCACGCATGATTTTGGTTTAGGAAGCTAGTTGTTCTTAAACTAAACTGTATGCCTAGTCTACTTATCGTCTGTCTCAGTGACAGTGGGAGTGACTGGTGTCCCTTTAGTCCAAAGACGGAGAATTTCACGAAGCTCCTTGCATGAACTTTCATTCGCCTTGGCCGAGTGAGCGGAGTTTGCCATAGGGGCGGAGCTGCACCGCTTACTTTGTATGTATACTTTGTATGTATATATACATCATGCATGGATGCATACTCTCACGAAGACGTTGAAATATGGCCTATCGCGCGTTAGAAGACTTTTGTCTACATCAAGAAAATGTACATTCCTAACGTAATAAAGGAGATGAAATCTCGATTCTTACTGCATTCTAACAAGAAAAGGATACTTGGTGACCGTGGCCACTCTTAATGACTTTTATATTAAAAAAATGCACCTATCAATTCTGCTCGAATGCTGTCTTCCGTATCTGCGAAACGATAACCTGGAGGGAATTATGATTTTTTTTTGAATAAATTACTCTACTGCGGAGGGTCAATACCATCAACAAAAAGTTTCTTTTTTTTCAAATGCTGAATACGATTTCGACAAGTATAGGTGTAACAGTACTCCTTCTAAGATTCTCTTCAGTAGCTTCAAATGGTAACCTAGAACAAGTTTGGTGATTTTCACTATCCAAAAGTAAGCAAATTTTCTACGAAAAAAGTTCGTAACTTCCTTCGAAGGGTCGCTTCGCAGTTATCAAGCACAGATTTAAAATTTCAGCGTTTCCAGGTGCATTTTACGGTATACATCGCATTCTAGATGGCCATGGTCACAAAGTATCCTTTCCTTGTAAGTACGGTCACTACAGCAAGTCTATGCTTTTTTCACACCTGGCAGTCTTGCGTCGTACCAGGAGCATTATCGCTTTGTTTTGCGAACGTAAACGTTCGTAACATCTGAGCAGATGGAGGATTTGTAGAGTAGTTCTGCGAAGGTTGTGTTGAATAGTTGCTGTAGTCATCCTGAATTAACACATTCTTTGAACAGAACTTTAATCACACAACAGAACTTATACCTTTATGTCCTTTTTAGACAGGAACTGCCCAGGATCTGCATTCGGAACTGGGTATTGAAACACAGAGGGGTTGAATAAGGAAAAATCGTGATCAGTAACGCTGAAAATCATTGGTATTCTTTTCCAAATCGACTAATGTTACAGAATGTGCGATTTGACAACTGTCACTAATTGGCAAACAAAATAAATGTGATTGTCATGATAGACCTCATAATTCCGCACAAACCTCCTTGGCGTTTGCAAGGTGAATGATTTGAGTTCTGGAATATCCTTTTGCAATTCGGCCACTTCCATCGGCGGTGGCTCAACCACGGCAGGTTCAGCGATATTCGGTGGATGAATCATAGACGAACCATCATGAAGGCGATAATCGAGCTCTTGGAAGGGGAAACCTGAACATCACTAAAACTTTATGAGTTGGGAGCGTCAAAAATGGAAAAATGGCACACTTGAAGTAATGGTGAAAGGAGAAAAGAAATTTGAACTGGACGCCGTTTCGATGTGGTCGAATTGCGTGTGTTGAAGGACTGTCGGTCGTTGATGTTCTCTTATCAACTCGGAAGGGTGAGGATATGGTGAAATCCATTGGAACGATCGGGGATCCATGCTATAACAGAAATTGTTTACGGGGAAAAATAATCCAATAAATACTCAACCACTTTAACCACTTTCATTTAAATTAACGACATCAGTGAAAACTTGGAAAAAATGAACTCGAGCTTGAAACTGCATATGCTTCATTGCAGAACGTGAAGGTCTAAGCTGTTTTATTGTTTCTGTTGTTGTTGTTGTTGTTGTTGTTGCTACTGGTGTCGCTGTTGCAACTGTGCTTGTTTTCTATGCTGCTCTAAGGATAATCCAACAAAGATAATTTTTTAGCCAGTAGGAGCCCTTATGCAGGGTGTTCATGTTATACAGTCTGGTTGTAGATGACTTTTTTGCTGTGAGGTCTTTTACAGAAAGTAAATTCTTAGAAGGCAAGAGCCTTTACACAGGGGTCCAATTGTGCCCCGAAGGAAATTCAAGAAAGGTAAATCTCGCTACATTCTGTAAAGCTGGCAAAGACTAACAATACACCATAATTCACTGGACACTCTTTTTTACTCCAGGATTACGGTAGAAACTCCAGCGTAGAGCAATCATTGTGAATTATGCCATTTCAAAAAAAAAATTCCGGAAAGTGAATAGCTGTGTAGCGGCTTCCACGCACTGCTATACTGACTTCTTACAAATTTGTGAAGCTTTCCAAATGATAATTACGTTTGAAGAGTGAGAAAACATTGTTACGGTATGGCATAACTTATGAACGAAGCATTACAGCAAAGTGCAAATTTTATATTTAGAATCAAGGAGCCTTGTTAGTGCAATGTTAGAGTTCTTGGTTATTTGTACCTTCTCTGATGGGCAAACTATGTGCATTGATGGCTTGAAATCATTCTAATATTCCACTGTGCTCCTACTCTAAAGACGCTCTCGGTGATCCGTTTCGCAGTGATTCGAAGTTGAAGCCAACTAAGTAGAATGGCTCCGCTAAAGTCTCGAGGCCATCGAATTACTCACAATTGAACTACGTGCAAGCCTACTTTGCTCATAGTTCAGTCTCACGCTTGTGAAACCTCAAACTCTCCAGCTCATCACTTTCGGTGTCTATTGGCACATATCATCATCAAACCACTTAAGACAAGACGGCTGAGGACCGCATCTAATCCACTTTATATGTTCTTGAAAAAATGGGGTTGACATTATCCCTTTTTCTCTTGATTACGTTTCACATGCTTCCAGATGGAAGTGGTACTGAGCTTCCACAAATGCAGGATTTTGCGCTCCTTCATCAACTGAGCCTGGATATCGTAGACTAGGTAACTAGGCAACCTAGATAGCCATTCATGCTAACTTCCTACATTGTAGTAATATTAGCGACGACATTCCCTGTGAACATCTCAAGATGAAGCTAAAAAGTGTCTGGAGGAAAAATGTGTTTTCAATTTCTTCAGTAATCTGCGTTCGCTTTCCAGAATTCTTGAAATATAAAAAAAACCCTGGACTTTCACTCTTTGTGCAAAAAGATTTGCAGCGTGGTCATAGCGAGAGGCAGTACGATTCTGACAAAAGCAGGAAACGGTAACCTGTGCGAGCAGATTTTGCAACATCACATAGCGTTTTGATCAAAATATGGATATAAACGGGATTTGTCTGTTTATCCACCTACTTCGTTACAAAATGGCTCTGAGTAGTGCTTGGGATCTTCAAGTACTAAATCAATGCTTCCCACAGCATTAACGAGCACAAATTGTGCAGAAAAATCTCAGGCGTCTCCTTAGCTTCAAAATCACATCTACCTCCTTTATTGGTGTAAACATGATAACCGATATATCCGAAGTACGGCAATATTACTGCAGTGATATGAAAACAAAACTCCAGTTAGTGCGGACGGCTATTTACTTCAAAATTATTGAGCATCGACTGTAGTGAAATCTCTGAACGACAAGCTCAATGATAACGTACATCTTCGTAATGATGGCCCGTATTTGGTGAAATAATTTTCTGTAATTGCTCTTATAAAAAAAGGAATGGGGCTATGAAAATTTGCACTATTTGATTAGAGTGTTATTAACTCTCAAATACATTTCATCCTTCTGTGACGATTTGTAGATGGTGAGATTGTATCTGAAGCGAAAGGTATTGCGGAAATGCAATGACAAAGTCACTGATCATTCACTGTTCCTTGTGAGCAGTTGTAATGAAGCTTTTCATGAACTTAGTGCCTTTTTCTTTCAAAAAAAAAAACTCAGCATGCACTTATTGAGAAATTTTCGACATATAAGCAAGCAAAAAGTGAAAGCAATGCTCTTCTTTTTGCTTGGACCAATGTGTTTCATCAAATTTTCCCTTGCTTCAACCTCTCAGCAGTACTTCTTCTAGTACAGCTCAACAATATTTTTTAAAAAGACAACTGGGAAGTCCGCACCATTACGAGGTGCAGAGAAACTACATATTGGAGGATCTCGCTATTGATAGCTTAGTTGAATTGAGCGAAAATTTGCAGTTTGTTCCAGTTAGTCTGGTCCTTATGATTAATGTCTACATAAAAAATACAAAATTCTCACTGGCCCGCAAGTAATGCCCCACGGTTGTTCAAAATTATTAGACTTTTTCTAGCTCACAAGCACTTCTGCCATGGCACAGTGCTGCTTAACGGCAACAAATAAAAACTTCTAAATAACAGCGGCAAAAGGAAAGCATTACGAGAATTTACAGATTGTTGATCACAGTAACTGCGTAAATGAATATGACCTGTAGGATCGCGGGAAAAGAGCGAAGTGTGAACACGAATCGCTGCACGATGTAAACGTCAGATTATTGGAAAACTGTAATAATTCTGCTAGTAATTGCACGCTCAACACAGTAACACCTTTTACTTGCAAAACGCTGATTTTCGAATCATTCCTTTAAGTGTTCAAAGACATCTCGAAAAGCGGCAAGACTGTCATTGCTTTTGAAACAAATAAATCGCTCCTTCAGAACCAAAATTGCATGAGTAGTCAACTCCTTTGGAAGCGCAAATCATATTACCTAGGACCCTAAGCTCATTAAAACGGACTGTGAAAGTATTTTTTTTTAATTTGATCAGAATATGCTGAGAACCCCTTAGAGTTAAAGAGTTAAAATTGGGCATTATGAGAAGAACTGAATAGATATACCTATGGAATATAGAGAGGAGTCCTCTGAGTAGCTGATTTCATCAGGACGCACGTATCCAAACGGCATGCCTCGCTTTTCTCAAGTCCATGGAAACAGTGGGAAAAGCGCAATGATGAACGAGTACGACCTAAGGGCGAAAGGTGGCAGCTTTGCGGAGCACTTGAATGAAATAAACTAAGGCGTAAATGTCGCTTTAGCAAACTCGAAGGTGCTAGGGGATTACATATTCGGTATTTTCATAAAAACGCTACTGTTCAACTTGTTTCATCTCATGTGAAAACAATCAACTCTTTTTCTTCTTGACAAAGCGTCTTCTGCTAGCATTTGGTTCGCAATCTACTTTAACAGTATCAAGTTCAAGCAACCGCCAATACATTGTGAAAGCCTTGCACCAAATTGAGCCCGTAAGCTCCTCTAGATTCAATAGGACATATTCATTATGATATAAATTAGATAGAATAAATTGAGCGCTTTTTGGAAATATCTGCAAAAATTACTGTTGACATATGGTGGTAAAAAGCTGAAGAAAGACAAACACTTGAATAACTTTCCGAAAGTTGCTAACATTGTTAGAAAGTCAGACATAAGTTTACTTTTAATTTGAGTTTTATGGCCGACTCTTTTTAGTCAATATGACATTATGATCGGATTTCTTTAATAAAAGTTTCTCAGATTCTTTTTTTTTTTTTCAAATATTGTTCCATATAAAGTACCTTATGTATAGTAAAAGCTAAATTGATATAGGCAGCGAAAAAATACCATAAAGATTGAAACGTCACCACTTCATCCCACTGTAAATCCTGCTCAAGCATAGTGAGGAACAGAGAATCTTGAACGATATTAGAGTTTCATATGTATTCACTACCATTATTTCCCCAATGTTTTCAGCATATCGACCGCGGATCAGACCACATAAAACTTTCTTTTCGGGTACATTTCACCAGCAACGCACTCTAAAAATTTTTTGAAAAGCCGTACAAAGTGAATTGAATAGCTAGAAATCTGAAGTTACCATATACTAGATTTTATTGCTTTTACTAATGAAAAAAAATTTACACATGCTATCAACACGTTTCGGACCGGTGCTGCACATGGTGCAGCACGCTGCTTTGAATGATCTTTCTGACGTTTACAGGTGTTTTCTTTTAGTCCAAAGTTATTAAGTCAAAGGTCTAAGCTCCTGCTTTTCAAATGACTCTATGGACCTTGCCGCCGGTATCCGTTTAAGAAATATGAGGACAAATCGAACAACAGTTGCAAGGAAGTGCGGCAACGCGAGCGACGCGTGCGACGTCGCAACTTTTCTTTGCTTCGATTTCAAAGTAAAAAACTGTGGTTTCAATAATGATGTGAACAGTGTACAACACAGATACTTTTAAGTAATATTTGAAACTGAGTTCTTGTTCCTATCTTTCAAGAAAGCACTACGAATGCGACAGTTACAATCAGTATGACCTTTTGCTATATATATCCGCAAAATCTAGGAAAAACCTTACAGTCCCGAATTTTGAGAAAGAGTTTACTTGCCACACTGGCAAGGATGATGTCGAAATCTGCGTCATACGTTAAACTTACCGAATCCAAAATGATGGCTCTTATACTTCAGATAATTTTAGATACTTCAGATCTACACCACACACACTTATATAATGATTTCTGAGTTGTAATAAAATCTTGTTGTTTCCAGAGTAGATTATGCACATTAACCTGTAAACGCAGGTCAACGAAGTAAAGGCTTTCTTTTATAAATGGAAATGAGGGCATCGCCTTTATCAGAAAACTTGGTAAAAACTTAGCGAAGAAACGGAATATTGCAGTTGAACCACAATTTGTTTTGCTATGCACTGATGATGCAGGAGAACAGCCTTTTCTGCATCAGCTGATTTTATACAAAATGAATTTCGTCTACTGTTCGAAGACGGTTTTTGACTGCCGATAGCATACCAGGTTCATAGAGAGGATGCTACTGGATAATACTTGTGAACGGCACTGGCTTAAACGTCTCTAAGCTTCGCTGCTTTCGCAGCACAATATCTGCCAGTAATTTTTACAAGAGTCTTCGTGCACTCTTCTCCTCTCAGTCTCCTTCCACTTTCCAAATGATTTGAGAACTTGACTAATCATGATTTCGCCAACTTACGGGGGAACAGTAACCAGCACAGTACAGGGTGTTCGAAAAGTATGTGCGCACTGTTAATATCTCTCTTACGAGTTTTGCTGACCACTGCGTACAAATGTGTAGCTGGCTTCAACTTAATACAGCATAAAGCAGCATACCGATCACTCTTCATTACTGAACTAACGTAAAATGTTTGAAGAGGGTTTTGAGCTGTTTAGCAGCATATCCTCAGTCGCTGACTTTACCCACTTCCTCAATCGAGTGTGGAGTCCGCACTTTACCATAATGCACATTTATAATTTACGCCAGTCATGCCGTAACAACGGTTTTTCAATTTTCCTTAAAACTTAGAAAAGCTCAAAAAACTCGTGAAAGGTTGTGTTGATATCAGCATAAATGAAAACACTGCCTACTACAACTGTCCAGAATTTTTTTGTTACCCTAATTTCACGAGTACAAGACGCACCTTTTTCAATTTATCAGACAAGCAGCTCGGCCGCACCACTGTGCCTAGAAAGGGTAGCTCTCCCAAAAATTCTCTTAAGTACGGAGCGCACGGTAGAGGGTTATCTGGTTGCGAATGTTTAGGCTGGTCGAATTTGGAAAAAAAACGGGTGCGTCTTGTACTTCTGAAATCATGGTAAATTTTTCTGAAAAAGGTCTGTCTCACAATGGCGCTGTATGCTGGAAATTCCCAATGTCATCTTTGGCCTCGGGCATACTTCACGCGATTTCAGTCGCGACGCGATTTGGCAATATTCCAAATGTTTATAACTCATCGTGGACGCATTCTAAATGTAAAAAGTATGGCATTATATCAGTCTACGAGAGTTATAGTGGCTATGCATTTGTACTCTGCCAGTGTTGGATTTGAAGAAAATGGCAAATTGCCAAATCGCATGGCGACTGAGATCGCGTGGAGAATGCCCGAGGCCTTACAGTAATAAAGAGCGACTGAGTCGCTTCATACTGTGAGTCTAAGCTGAACAGAGCTCTACAAAATTGTACCTAAAATTCGGCAAAATACATAATGGGAAGAGAGACGTCAACGGTGAAGCAGTGTGTACATACGCATTGGTCAAAAAAGTTACTGAACTCTACAGGAGTTCACCGACCGTGCATCACTTGCTTCAGAGTGCACGAATCCTGGATGCAAGGGCACCGTTCAACTCAACTAGGCTAGGCACATCGTCTGATATATAGGAGCGCCCGTTTGAACGCGGAGGTCAGATTTCATAGATTTTTGCCACCACAGGTAACTCAAGAACAAGAACTTATGTTAACCTACCGTAAGCTAGAACCTATAAGATTCGTGATATCTTAGCGCCTACCGTACATTCACCGTGTTCAAACGGGTACTTCTATACATCCCAAGATGCGCCTCGTTGAGCTGATTGAAAGTGCCCTTGAATAACAGGTGCCCTTGATTTGTGCACTCTGAACTAAGAAAAGGCAGTGCGACGCAATTTCGGTGACTTCCGATGGAGTCGATGACTTTTGGCGAATTAAGCGGTATTGTAGTCTTTGTGACACCTTGTATGATCACCAAGCAAGACTCAGTTTCTCTAGCGTTATTTTGGCTCACTATAGTCACAATTTATTTGAACGTGCAAAATAGGAAAGAAATGTAACTTTGTGTGATCACAATTCCATCCTAGTCATAAAAGTAATGCGTTCAAATCCAACATGAGGAAAAAAATGCCATCTTTTGTTGGACAGGTATTTACAAACGGCTCAAAAATTCTACCGCCAACTTTTTGTTCATGGAGGACAAATTAGCATGTCTCTAGAGACTGCGAAATCTACAGCCACGACCGGTGAAGATCGGATTCACCCAAACAAAAGCTCGATTGGTGAGAACAGCCATCAAGGATGACAAAATATGCAAGCCTTTAACTCGAAGGCATCCTAGCAGATGTTATTACTCCAAAACTCCATTGTAGAAACACAACAAAATCAAAAGAATGTGTATGATATGAATGACTACGTAACGAGGATTAACGTGTCAAATTGTATTTTATGGAGTCAATAGCTACAATTTCGAAGAGCGTACATAGAAAATAACGTCCTAGGGCTACGGTATCGCTGGCGAGTACGGTAGCATATAGCCATACGTCAATTTAACTCACTGACTATGACGCATGTACTCTAAGAACTTCAACAAAGGTCTTTTTCAGCGGAGTGATGAATACTGCTAGCTTGAATTTCAAAAGGAGGACGAGAAGATTTTGTTTCACTTTGATCGGTTCTTACAGGAGTAAGAATGTTTGAATCAGTGAGTAAGAGGCACGATTGTTCTAAATCACATCTCTGCTTGATGAGATACGTTTGATTTTAGAATCGGATAACTCTCTGACTTTTTAAACAGAAGAAAGCTAAGCTTGAAAATGGAGGAACAATTACGTTGTAAATAAATTTCGAAGCATACTTGGATTATATCGAAACGTGAATAAACAAATCAAAGAAAATCTTTGTAACGAACTTGTCTGCGAATGTTATATGATCAGCAATTGATGGTCTTCAATTTCAATTGTCAGGATGGAGCAATACTGCTTGCAATTAGGATTAGACGGATTAGAAGAAATTACCTGTCTCGAGCGGTATACGGTATGATAGCTGTCCGTCGCCAAGCAGCAGCCTGCTCATTCTTAATTGGTCGAAGACGGAGCGTAAGTCAATGTTTCTATGGCAAGATTATAATGCAAAGATATCTGCAGTTGAAGTAAAGCTGACGTTTACTAGGGCAACCCAATGTAGAATATTCGAACAAAAGCTACAAAACGCTCATTTTAGAAGATAATACAACCAAGAAGCAATCTAATGACAAAAGATATTTTCTTGGAGAAGCTTTCCTTTTTCCAGTCGGAAAACTGCTGTATTCCAGATGAAACAATCATTGACGTACTTCTAAAGACAATTAAATGAATGATTTCTCATAAATCGATGTTGTTGAGGTCAAATTAACTCTTCTTGTGATTGACCTCCGAAAGGAAACTAAGCCACTTCAGCTTCATATGAAAGGTGCCTAAGCAAGAACAGATACGACATATTTACTTATTTCCAGCACTACGAGTCGATGCACAATCTTAACGAAGTTTGTATGTACATATCTTAGCAGACATTTCAATTAAATCGTGTTCTGAGCGACAATTTCGACTCGCCTATGTATTCACGCAACATTTCACAGTGCCACACTTGCCCATATCCAACGTATGAACTGCTTTCGTTTCTAAACTTTGGTTTCAAACCTTACAAAGCGATCTGGGTAGAGTCATTATCTCAATGATATGGTTTGGTAAACTTCACACTGCTCAACGGATAACGCATGCTACCGTAATGTTTGCTTCAAAAAGCCCACGCTAACTGAAGTGTCTTGTGTGTTGTGCAGAAAACTGAATGTGGCATCAGAAATGTTGTTTTGCTATAGTCGTCCTCCCCCCACTAGACACCTACTCAGGGATTCGCTCCGTGCGGGCGGGTTGCCACGCCGCAGCGAGCGGGCGCCGGTGTTGCGGGCCGTAGCTGTATCGCAGCGCGCCCGCATGACAGTGGGTTGCCGCACGCACGGGGGTTGATAATTTTGGACACTTATTCGGGGTTATTTTTGTTGCTTGTTTATGTGTGGTGCTTGAATGTACTCCATTAATGCGTTAAATGTTTATTTTGTAAACCAGAACATCATAACATTACAATTCGACAGAATCGCGCAAGCAAGAATGTATAACTGTCCTGTAAAAGAACAAACTAACATCATGAACAAGAACAGAAAGCAAGATAAGAGACAAGACGAACTGTCAATTCCTATGCTGCGCGTTACAATCTCTCATATAACATTTGATATTATATACAAATATAACACAAAACAATAGTCCGTAAGGTTGCTTCAAATTCTGCGTTTCCTCTCGTTTCTTAAAGGTAACCTTCATCCAAAATAGTTATTTTTTCCATGCTCTGAAAAATAAAACTGTCAAACAAACACAGCACGCCAACAGTGATATAAGGAATCACCTTTGCTTCGATCTTCAGCCTTTATCCATTTGTATTTTGCTGAAAGTAATTGCGCATCTCATTAGAACAAATAAGATTGCTATCATACCTCGTTGTGTGATCCAATAAAGACATCCTTGAGGATCTAGAAATGAAGGGTTTTCTGATTAATGTCGTAGGACCACTTCGAATAAAACGTCGTGCTATCACACCTATCCTTCGTATCCGCTGAAAGAATTGGGCATATTATCAAGGCAAGCGAGTCAAGGAACCATACCTTGTCGTGTAGTCCAATAGAACCTTGAGGTAGTAGAAAATTTAATTGAGTGTTCGTGGCAATCGATGTTATGGGTTCCATTTATAGAAAGCGTCGGATCATCACAAGTGAGCGTAGGCAGAATGTCACACATCGAAATGAGGTGCGAAGTCTCTATAATAAACATCAGTGGCAAAGGTCAATCAATGAATGACACGGATGACAAAAAACTCAAACAAACAAAAATACCATGGAAAAAGACGGGGTCACAGTATCCCAGAATGCTCTAGCATCAATACTGAAAAAGAAATACGCATGGGAGGGCGATAAAACTATTGCAGCATAGCATCCAAAACGATGACAAATACAGCATAAGAGAAGTCCTACATAAGCTAGAGAAGATTCAAGTATAGAAGCTTTTGTTATAAATAAAACAATCTCAAAGGAGAAAGTTAAGAAGATCTGCGCATCAATTACCGTGCCTTTTCTTTTTGAAACAGTCCGTAATTGCGCGTATGGGCAGCGTTCCTTTACGCGCTGCCGCAGAAAAGACATGGTTGCCCGCTCGCATGCCTAAACTCATGCGGCGCGCTCGCACGGGGGCTCGAATGACCCTTATAATTAGGCTGCCCGCACGCACGGAAGCGCTACTTCGCAGCCCGCCCGCACGACCCAATGCTCTGAGTAGTGGACGAATTCGAATTTGAATTAGAGCACGCAGGTTGCGGCAGAGCGCGGCACCTGCAGCTGTCACTTCAATCTCAAACAATTTTTTTTTGTGTTTTCCCGACGATACAACCTCATGTTCGAATGCTGACATTCTCTCAATCCGTACTGAAATTGCTGCTTTTGTTTGAGCATTGGATCGTGCTTCTATGCTCGTTTCTTTGACTACGATTCCAAGTTGAGTTTGGAAAAACGCCCAAGTTTGAAATTTGGTGGAATTGTTCTCGGTAGGTCTCGAAGTGGTGATTCATCAAATACTTCGTGTCAAAAACTCCCCATATACATCGTTTTTCCAACCTTTCCTGAAAACAGAGTAAAGAAACGAGCATAGCATTACGAAACATCGCATAGCAAAAAAATCCTTCAATTTTGATCACAATCATCATTAAAACAGAAAGAAATCACTATGCAACGACAGTGAAACACAAAAGAAAACTGTGTTAGTTTGAAATGCATTTGACGGTGCCGCGCTCTGCCGCAGCCGGCGTGCTCCAATTCAAATTCGATTTCGTCCACTAGGTGTCTAGTGGGGGGAGGACGACTATAGTAAAGAGTAAAGGGTTGTTCTAATTACGAAAAAATGTTCAGTCTTAAAATGGCTATCCTGTGGACCATTCCTTCGTGTTTTGGAAATATAGCATTGTTGGTGATTATAGTTGGGTATCTAGCTATTCATTACATTTGTTTTCAAACCTGAACTAACATTTTTCAGCTTAAGCCTTGCAACAGTTGGGTAGTCAAATGCTTACTATTCTTTGCTGCTAAGTAAATGTTGGCACTTGAAGGGGGATGTGTGTGGCATCATTTAATTCTAAGATTTTTGGATCTCATCATGACTCTCATTCGCTGATAATGTTCATTTGCTGGTTTAACTTGTTACTGATACCGAGCCAGGGCAGCTTGGCTCCTGGAAATCAACCTTCCTTCATTTTCCTTGTACCCAGTGTACCTGGTCACTCTTCACAGCAGCTCTTTCTTACAACTTTCTTCTTACTCTTTCTTGTTAGAACTATCAACTTGATTTTCGTCACTGATAGTATAAGCGCATCTGACATTGATAGTTAGTGGCTATCCGAAGGAACGAATATTCAACATAAAACCACCCAAGACTAGCCATACAAGTGGTAGCATTTCGTCTTGATAATCATTTGTATTGTGGTTACATTGGCAGTTGTTGCATGTGTTACACACAGCTCTCAATCGTATAATCCATACTATCGTAATGTTGCCAAGGGCTTCATGGCTTCTGCTTTCTTCCTCCTTGTTACTACTGACAGGCAGAGTTGGGCAAGAGGTCAGGCACAAGTCTTTCAGAAACAAACCCCCCCCCCCGCTTCTCACATGGAAGCCCTCAAAGGACTCTTCCTCCTCCTCTTGACCTCCGAACCCCTCAGAGTGTGACATCCCTTTCTAGAGAGTTTTCAGATTCTTGAGAACTGTATGCCCGATTTTTTGTGGCTGCACTTTACAATCACACGTAATTTGACGGCTGATTTTGATCTGAATGGGCCTATTGAAAGGACCATGTTCAGGGCCCGGCACGAGGTGGGCAAAATGACAAGCTGGAAGTCGTTTTGGGGCCAAAAAGCAAAGGGGATATCGTTTTTGCGGGATCCGGGCGGAGCCCCGGAAGAAGATTCCAAGTGCAAGCAAAAGAAGGTCGAATCATGCTTAACTTATACATCTAATTCATCGGAAAATAGTTTTCATAAACCTCAACGCACAGCAGACTTCGCGCGCACTACGCCGCGTTGCCGCTAACTGCCGCGTGCGCGACGTCGCATGAGCGATGCCGTTGAACAGCATGATCAGTTCTCACTGCAGGCGTAATGATATAGCACCAAATTGCATAAGCGAACAAAGAGAGGCTAGTAGAAACAAAGCATGGAATGTTATGAAAAACTTATGTGAATGGGAGGTGTAATAAGTATTTTTTCAAAAATTTTGCAAAAGTGGTAAACGAAGATGTGAGTTCAAATGCTCGTTTGCAGCGCACAGATGACCATACGGTATGAAACTTGGTAGATGAAACGGGCCTGCGGGGCTTAACTGAGATATTTCATTGAAAAATTATGTGACTGAAGGTTGTGGCAAGCTTTTTTCTAAAAATTTCCCACTATCAAGAGTTCAAATGCAGGGGCAAAACTTTCAATTCACACAATTTTTTCAAAATTTTTACATAAATCTGTTGTTCACCTAAAGTTTACTATACGGTGAGATTTTGGTTCCGAAAGTCCTCCTCTTGTCTTTGTTAGAGCCAGCCTAAAATCGCATCAGCAGCCTAGCTTTCTAAGATGGAAAGCGCGCCCCAGTCAATCGATACGCGCGGGAACGGCGTCTCCCAGTCCTATGACTGCGTTCCTTTAATATTTTTTCATTCCTTCATCATTTTCCTTGCTTATTCTTCTTCCTGTTTCCTATCTTGATACAGGTGAGGAGTATTGGAGGAATTTGAGCATTTCGGGCGCTTTGAGCGCTTTTAGGGGAAGTGTGGCCGGTGCTCTCGTTCCACAAGCACAAAGCGTCATTTTTGGGCTCAAGGGGGTATTCGTAAAAACTATTGGGTCAAAGGGGAATTCGTTTTGGAAAACCCCGTCTGCCCACCTCGTGCCGGGCCCTGGCCATGTTAAAGGGGTGGGGCGTTTGGCTCCAAATTACCATTTGTAGCAAGAGGTAGCTATGAGCTTAATACTCATACCAAAAAAGAAGCGTTCCTGGATTTTGAACACAAATTAATCGGGTCAGGCGCAACCCCTAAGCTCAGGCAGCCTGACCTTTTGAAGGGTTGCGCCTGACCCGATTAACTTTATCGACGAAGAAGCTTTTCCACCTTAGTTTTATACGATTCGCTAGCATAAACCTTGTAGATTCTACAGTAGGTGTTTGAGCTTACCTCGACTTGATGCTTTGTAGATCGGTGGAGTTGAAGCACTCGAGGTAGAAAACGCGGTAACTAACATATCGGCAGCACTTCTTGATCCATTATTTGGAGGCGATATGAAATCCAATTTCTGCCATAAAATAACGAAGAGTAATTCTTCGTTATAAATACCGAAAACTGACATATTTCAATTTTGTGACCAAATTAATCGTGTTTGAAAATCATGCTTTTTAGACGTTAAAACCTTAGAATATGTGACAGGTGGTGGTTTGTAGAGCTTGTAGAGGTAATTTGGCATGAGGGAAAGCATGCCTCCAATTTACAAACAGAGCTTCTTTAATGATCTTACGTATGTGCAAGGTAAGAGATAGAGAAATGAAATTTGGCTGTGACTTCGATAGTGGCGGTAATCAGTATGCTGTTCACAACAGTCATTCCTTCTCTGGTGGAGTTGAGATATTAATCGGTCAAGCGCTTTCCTTCTTCACCAGTCTAAAAAGCCCGGGTACTAACGATTCTGACCGCGTGATTTTGTAAAATTAATATGGTAAAAAGTCCATAACTTCGCAGATAATGAACATAGATTTGGAATCAGCGCTTCATCTACTCGTGTACATCTCACTGCAACAGGTCACCGTCACCGGGTATCCTTCGTTTGTTACTTTTTTTCTCCTCTCTCTTTTAGGTACGTCCACATTCCTTCAAATGCAGCGTTTGCACTGACATCGATACTCTTGATTCGTCGGATCAACTCTAGGTCTCTAATGTGCTTGCTCACTAAACGAGCAGTGCTCGTAAAATGCGTGTAACCCAAAGAAAACTGACACTTTGGAGCGATCAACTTGACTGTTTTGATTTTTGAACATGCGATGACGATCAAGACTGACTCGTTTAAATTACAGAAGAATCCTTTTTGGCTACAGTCTTTTTTGCGTAAAATCTTGAAAAGCAGACCAAGTAACATTTCCAAAAACCGAAATGATAGTGGAGCTTTCTTCAATTAGCGGAATTCCGAACTTGGCAAGATGGCTAGTAAATTGGGAAACGGAAAATTATAGTAAGACTATGGGAAAGAGGGGAAAGGGCTGCACTGCATGCATTTTGGAATGCTTCGCAGTCGGTGTTCTGCCAAATTCAGCGATCGTTTAAAAAAGCGTAAAAAATGGATAAAAAGGCGATGTTAATGGTATATTGTCATTGCTCTTCGAAGTCATTCAAATAGATCTTAACTAACACACTTAGTTTTATGCTTTAATTTCAAAGTCAAGAGTCGTATTAAGTTTTTTCGTTTCCCTTCTCTACATTTCTTGTGTTACAGATACAATCTTTCGAATTATTAGGTTATACAATCTTTCGAATTATTAGGTTATCCGGAAATTAATGTCCGTTTTCATTTTCAACCGCCATAATTCGTACATTTTTCATTTCTGAATAGGTTTCAAGATACCATTCGATAGAGCAAAGCAAGCTCTATAAATTGGCAGTCTTACTTTAGCAATAGCTCTAATCCACATCGAGTTTCGAGCCAAAAACTAAAAGGATACAACTGCCTGAAAAATCGAGAAAAATCATAACTCAGTTCAA